TGTGTTATAGAATCACGATATATGGGTGTCATCTACACACCAACGACTCGTCAATAAAATAAGAAGACAATAATGATTCTATTAATTTCTTATGGTTACATTTTATACGACTGTATGTTTAAAATTTTAACATATCATCATCGGGTGGTTCGAAATAAACAAGTAATTACGTAGTCATTGAAATGCGGGTTAATGCTAAAATGAGTTACAATGAAATGGATCCGTTTTTCACATCGATATATGTGTCATATTTTGGTATAAGAATGTTAAAATCTTTTAAAACTGAGGACGAGGTTGTATGTGGTTATGTGTACGTATTACTGATGTCATTTATTATATCTAATAAGATTCAAACAAGTAGTGTTACAAATATAGTCACAAAACATTAATTTCAATGCTATTGTCTGTCTTATTTCATTGTCAAGTAACTCTTGTGTAAGCGGCGGCCTCCGTAGTCTAGGGGTAACGTTCCCACCTCATGACTCAAGGTACGCGAGTTCAAACCCGGCGGAGGTCGTGGAATTTTTAAGGGCGGAAAAATTCAGGGAACAAGTCCTCCGGGAGAGACTTTAAGCCGTGGGTCCCGTTTCGTAGATTTACGGCACGTAAAAGAACCTCATGCCTCTAGGACGCCTCTGAGCTAAATTAGGCCAAAAAGTTTCCCGCCCAAATAGTTTCCAATGCCTCCGATAGATGGGGAAGTATTAGGTACCACTAACTCGCTGACAGAAAGGGACTAACTATTAGATACCAGCACCAGTATCGGTAGGGGATGGAGACGGTAGAAATTAAAAGGGGGATGTACAATAGACTATCAGTCGCGGTGCATGAGGAAACCCACCCCCTCAATACTGAATCACTAAACTCTTGTGTAGGCAGCGCCTATTTTACGGTGGTTTTTACCGTGCGCTTCTTTATAAATTCTACTCCGCCAAATTCAGACGTGTCGCAGGGGAATGGCCACCACCGGCTCAAGGTTGTGATAACCCACTGGTTACCATTCACACCAAGCTAATCCTAGTCTGATACCCATGCCAGACAGTGAGGCCAAGTGACCTATAAGTAATGGGTCTGCAAGATTTCACCGATAAGAGAGTATAGAGGAATGTATATTCCACACAAAGGCTCGCTCCAGTGTCCACACGCTATTGAGGCCAGAGGCACGACGCGTGCTTATAGTGAAACCAGTTGTTTTGGTATCCACAGTAACTAGGCAGGATTCTAATATCGTCAGGAAGAGATCGGTTTCACACTTTTCCTTTTCGGATACTCTTTCCTTGCAGAGTTTGAAGCTCTCACTGCGGTGGCTATGAAGAGATCTGTCTTCTAGGGTATAACGCCGTGTAGTCTGTTGAAAGCCAACCGATGTTTCAGAGAACAGTTCCCCCCCCCCATCTTCAAGGTCAAACGACTCCCTTCATTCCTCTGCTTGTCACATGCTTCACGCTGGTCTCTTCATTGGCTTATTCTTCGATCCTGGAGATGGAGGCAAAACGTTCCTTCGAAACGTCGGTTGGCTTTCAACGAACTACTTGACGTTATTTCCCTAACGATAGAACTCTCTCTCATTGTCGGATCTGTGACCATGAGAGCGGTAGTTATGAAGACTTCTATCTTCAGGGATATGACGTCGTGTAGCCAGCTGAAATCACTTCTTGATACATGCTTCATGTTGGTTTATTGCTTGGCTATTATTTGACCCTGGAGATAGAGGTGACATTTTCCTCCAAAACGTCCATTGACTTCCAACGTAATACATGGCGTTATATCCCAGAAGATAGAAGTCTTCAACATTTTTAGTTCTGAAACTGAACAAGAAATGTTGGCAGCAATGTCTGTACAGCCCCCATTCAACGACGTCATTCATATGACAGACATCGATCGATACTGTTGTATGAAACTCGGAACAATGCGCGTGACGTCTGAGACTGCTACATTCTTAGTGTCTTCTTAACTCCGCAACTCCAGTAATTTCGATTTGTATTCCGTGCGAATTCGTCACGTGAGGACAACATTGACGCAATTCTGTGCTGAATCTTGAAGTTATCCTATGCAGAAAGACGGAGGCTTTTAAAGAATATGGGTGCTCAATGCAGTATGATACAATATGGCTAAAGATGCCGATAACCCGATCTACGATGCAATCATGAACATATAGAAGCGCGAACTACAGCACCGTCAGTATAAATAAGACATATAAGACATTCTCGTAACAGATCAGTTTACTTACAGAATATCTCAGAAAAGTCTCACTATGCCTCTCATGGCGTCAACCTGTGCAAAAAAAAAAAACTCATTAATAAATATACATACAAGTATATATATANTATACAGTATACCTTTAAATACAATTCGTTACAAATGCCAAAAAATCGAAGAAGTTGAAAGGATAAGAAGTTATACACAATATTTGTGTTCGTTTAAACGGGAAGGAGATGCAACAATAACAATTTATACGTATATCGACTCGTTGCCTAGCAATGATCGTCTACTCTGGCTCCTCTATTTCGACTTTCAGGTGTCACGCCACAGTATATTCTTCATAGTTACCACAGTGAGAACCTCAGATTCAAGAATAAGGGGAAATGCTAATTGTATTGAATTGTAGGCACATTCAATATGGACATTTAATGATTTATACTTGAAAACTCTTAATGGAAAGCAAATGTTTTCAGATATTGCTGTTCGTAAGACTAGTGTTTCTCGCATCGTTATTTCAATTCTGAATAAAATAATATTTATTCTTGTCTCATGTATACTTCGCAATGTGTAAGTGTTTGCACCACGGAAAGGGGCTGAAGTAATGGCTGAAAGATTTGTACATATATTGTGAAACAGAAACCAATATGTTTTATTTGTCGGTTCTGACGATGGTGTATAACACACAGAGATACTGGCTTTTGAACTTTATCCATCGTCCGGTATTATAGAGAATAGAAGACACGACGTTTCGGAAACTGGATCTGCTTCCATCCTCAGGCGAAAGGGGAGAAGACACCTACTCAATTTGGCCCCTTAGAAAGAGTTAATCTCAAGATGGAAGCAGATCCAGTTTCCGAAACGTCGTGTCTTCTATTCTCTAGAACACCGGACGACGGAAAATGTCTAGCTACCCAGCAATTTTGTGAGAGACCGGGGTTCATAACCATGTAAAACAAAAGATAAATGTTGTTCTACGTTTTAATGTTAAAGTTTATGGGTAGGATGAGAGAAAACGAAGAATTTTGAACGGAATGGAATAAAGTAGTCCTCATTTTTACATTTACTGTTGATTTCTTTGTCAACGTTAAGTTTATTCTGATTATTTACTACATCTGGGTCCCACAATTTTCAACATCAGCAACTGAATTCAGTTTTCTATTACACGTATCTTCGGGAAGTTCTCGGGTTCCAGCTGCGTGGAAAATTGAACTTTTAGTTAAAGAATTGCTTATTAGTATTGCAGGTGAATTTATTTGTCTACAAAGCAAGGAAATAGTGTTTTAGAATTTGTACCCGGCCAGAAGACGAAGATTTAGAATTAAATATAAACAAATCAGTGTGACACAGGACATAGTTTCCGACGTTATGATGAAGTCACAAAAATTGGCATAGTCTGCATAGCTCATGGCAGTCAGACACTTAGGCAAGCATCACACATAAAATGTGCCACATGCTGGTTAGTCATTTTGCAACTTCAGATCTTTAATAAAATATAAATGATTATGTGGAGAAAATATACGTATAACGACATACACAATGATAGGGCCAGATCTAAGAATAGTTAGTTTGATCTCAAATAAAATTTGTCTACTGTGAACTCCTTGAAGGACGTTGGCCGCACGCTTTCTGGAGACTACTCACTTTAGGCCACAGTACCCACTGCAATAAACTCCACACTTTGCATCTACTCAGTTCTGATTTACACACGTTAACTTGACTACCGTAACCACCACTTTCATCGTCAGATTAGGCCATGTCCGGTGATATCACCACGCAAGAAGTACGGCTTAAGAAATTTTCTAATAGTATGCAATGCTGTGTAAGGTGTAGAGATGCATTTCGCAGTTTTGTACAAGAATTATGCATTAGTACAACATCATAAGTTCGAACGACAGGGACGCTTAAGAAAATTATTCTAAAATTATAACTTGGAGATAAATAAATTTGTACATGTGACTAAACACTATGCCATGAGGACTTACTTACTTACTTACTTACTCATGGAGCTGAGCCCTTCTTGAGGAGCCGCCAATTCTGCAGTTACTCAAGAATTTCCCAGCATTTTATGGAACCCGAAGGTTCGTTGCGGCGTTCACAAGAGCCCTCCACTGGTCCCTATCCTGAGCCAAATCAATCCAATCCATACCATCCCATCCTATCCCTCTAAGATCCATTTTAATATTGTCCACCCACCTACTTCTCAGTCTTCTTAATGGTCTCTTTCCTTCTGGCTTTCCCACCAATATCCTATATGTATTTCTCTTCTCCCCCATTCGTGCTACATGCCCTGCCAACCTCATCCTCCTTGACTTGATCAATGCCATGAGGGTATGGAAGTGAAGTTTAGCCTTGACTGTCACACGGCTAGGTTGTGCAGCGAATATCGACTAGAAGGTGAGCCTCAGAATGTTTCTAGACATAATTGGGGCGAAAGAATAACCCTACATGAAAATAATGCTCGGCTGCCCAGTTCGCAGCCCGCCACTGCGCTGACTGCGCTATGATCGGTACATATTTAACGTAAACATAAACATACTCTGAGTCACTGTACGTATTCTATTAAATTATTAGCTATGTTTCACGGAAGTTAATTATATCGACGGCTTCTGACTTGAACCATCAAAATCCTTGCAGTTGGTACCACGCACGAGGGGAGATTTGCCCTACGCACTGCGTAGAGAAACGCGGTCAATCTTGGATTCGAAGCAGAGCCCTTGAGGGCCGACTGGCGGGGATGAGCTCTCCCTCACTACATGAAGGTGCATCTCGCGCGTGGAGGCTGCAGTGTGTGGCTGACCCGCTCAGAGAACGTTTCTTGTCTCTCTAGACGACATGCCCCGGGTGAGTACAACACATGCTTCTATGCTTTTTGCTGTATCTGTACCTCACCTCAGTTCACACTAGACAATCAACATTACAATGGCATCATTCTTTTGAAAGTACATTTGTGGTAAGTCGAAACTTTATATTTGTTTTCAGTCAAAAGATTAATATATTAAAAACGTCTTTAATTACTACATTATTCACGAAGGAATTAACAGCAGATTAAATTCGTGTTAATCCTGGCTACCATTCAGTTCAGAGCCTTTGTCTTTCCTTCTCGTATCTAAAAAAGTATAAGTTAAAATACGCAAGACTATATTTTATCCGTCATTTTGAATGGATGTGGAAGTTAGTCTTTCCGTAAGGGATGAACAAAGGTTGTGTTCGAAGACAGGTTGCTGATGGGATTATTGAGTTATAAAGGGAAATAACAGGAGAACAGAGAACGTTGCCTAATGAGGAACTTCATAATTTGCACTCTTAACCAAACAGGCTTCGCTATTTTTTTTTTCCTTGGCACTACAGCCCCAGTGGGCCTAGGGCTACCTCCATGAACTTCTCTGTTCACGGCTTCGCTATTTAGGGTGATCAAATCAAGGAGAATGAATGGTTGGGGCATGTAGCAGGCAAGGAAACAATGATGAATTCATATAACATTTTAGCTGGAAAAGCTGTAGGTCATGGAACATGGGAGGCGTAGAAAAATGAAAGGTTAGTATTAAAAAGAATTTTAAAGAAATGGTGTGAAGATGTAGGCTGAATTCGTGTGGCTCAGAATAGGATCCAGTGGCTTGCTCTTGCATTTTATTTAGTCTTATTTTATTTCACGATATTTTCAATAGCTCAGATTGCATAACGTCAAACAATAGCGTGATTGGAGGATACTGAATTGGAAATAATAGCCTAATTTAAGGTACTACTCGTATCCCTACAAATTCCTAGAGGGACTGGTTAGAACTATAAAGAATTTCCGTCAGGATGGCCTGTCTCTTCGTCTAGATTTGAAGCAGGGACATCCTGAATACAAAACAAAAGAGCTGTTCACTTGACGTTCGTTTGCGGACTCTTGTGAATACGGTAAATAAAGCTTTTGATTCAGTAAAAATTGCGAGAATTTTCGACCATTTAAGCAACTACCATTTCCTAAAAAAAAAATTATTCAATGAAGTTGGTTATCTAGGGACTTGTTTTACTATTTGACAAAAGTGTCCCAGATTTTATAACCTTTGATTGTCTGATTTCTTCACGGTGTCAAGATTAGATGTGTGTACTGTATAAATGTGGGGGCGCGCGGTAGCGTAGTTGGTTGAGGCACTATGCTACAAGCCGGGAAGTCGCGGGATCAAATCACGATGAGGTGGATTTTTCAATTTACCTAATCCTTCCAGCCACACTGTGGCCCTGGGGCCTACTCAACCTCTAACAGAAATGAGTACCAGGAATATTCTTGGGGGTAAAGGGCAGCGGGCACGTATGGCTGACAACTTTGCCGCCATCTATGAGCCGATTGTCTAGACAATATGGGAACCTCAACAGCTCACAACACTATGGGCCTCCACGGCCTAGTACACAGATAGTTTTACTTTTACTTACTTACTCTATAAATATGTCTGTGTGTGAGTGCGTACACGTGCACCGGATTAAGTACAAAGCTGTTTGCGATTTGGACTTGTACCTTGATACTCTGAAAGGAAAGTCCCCAGATCTAAGTAACTGCAGCCATAGTATTCTGATGATTATAGCCGAATTAAATTAACAGTTCTGATGTTTCTCATTCAGGTGCAGAATTGGATGCTCGAAATATTTCTGTGATTCGCTTAATGTTGGGTTCCAGTTGTGTAACAAAGTTCACTGATGATAAATGTCGTTACATCTGAGTCGCACAAAAAAGTGAGTGACTACACACAGTACACAGCATTGCTCCCCCTGCTGCCACATCGGTTACGTTTTCAATAAATATATCCTTCTGCTGCCGATCGCAGTGACCGCGCGGTCTTCGCTCGCTGAAACACTGGGATCTTGGGTTCGAATCCCACTTGAGACATGGATATTTGTGTGTGTTTATTCTGTGTTAATGCCATCTTGTGTGTGCACTTAGCGGCCTTAAGTTCGACTGATCCCCGTCCAAGGATTCCTAGCGACTGTGTAAAAGATGAAGTAATTGAAAAACGGCGGACCGTAGTACTGCACTGCTAGACCATTAGAGCTGGAGGAATGCATATCAAAAATCTTTCTCCTTTCGCTCAATAAGATATCTATATTTTGTACGGAAATGACGGTGTGGTTTCTACACCTTACAGGTTTCTGCGACTCTCTTAGCTTCGTATGCGTCAGGCTGGCCGGTCACAGTGGTCTCGCTGTCTAAGGCATGACCTGTCTTCGCCCGCTAGAACACAGGGATCGTGGGTTCGAATGGAACTCAAGGCATGGATGTTTGTGCTGTCCTGTGTGCAGGTAGCGTCCTTGCGACGGGCTGATCCCCCGTCCAGGGAGTCCTACTGACCGTGTAAAGGATTAAGGAATTGAAGAGGCGGCAAAATTCTAACAAAGGGCTCTAGAGCCATAGGTGGATATATCAAGCTAGGGAAGCAGGTTGATTCACCATTCGCCTAGAGGTCTAAAAACTATGATTTCGTGCGTCGCAATGAAAACGAGAGAGAGAGAGAGAGAATAGTGTTCTGTTCATACTGCAAGATAGTGTATCCACATTTATGCATGTTCTGACTTCTAGACCAAATTTCCCCACTTCTCCGACGTTATTGTGCGGTGACAACTCTGTGGGTAGGTTATAATTTCACGTATCTTTAACTGAACATGATTTATAGTTTTTGTCAGCACGTTTACATGCATAACAGTGCTTTGACTGCTAAGTTACTTGCTTTGCAGTGTTAAGAAAATGCCTAATATGACCCGTTTAAAAATAGAATTTCTAGTGTATGCATGGTAGAAATTGACGGAAATAAAGAGTAAAGAGGCCTCAAACCATGATAGGGGACATACTCACTGACCTCTAAAGTAGCATGCAATGCGGCTCAGGAGGGTCTTTGGTTCCCTGCCTCTTATGTTTCCCGCAGCATTCCTTCCTTGTTACGGAACGTGGAGAAATGGCATGAGAGCATCTCGCTCGCATATTCATAAAGAACTCTAATTTGTGATATTATAATTTCAGGTGTCTTTAAAGGAAAGAACGCTATTTTATATGGAGATCATGTTTATCTGGGACATAGTATTAGAGCCTAAACTGTTGCACAGAATCTTTTAAAATTCGATGTGGGAGACTTTCTATCCAAGTTATCAAAGAATTTCGATTTAGCTAAAATCATGAAAGGATAAAGGGCAATTTGATGAAGACATATGGATTTCTGGGCAAAATTCACAGGTACATTTCTAAATGTTTATCGGAGCAAATCACGTTTCTCACAAAATTTGTCGAGAAAATGCGATAAATTCAATTTATGCACAATATATATTTTCCTTGAATGTCACATTATTCGAGATAATTACACAAAATAAAGTGTTTTTGCTTTGTCGCTTTTTAACTTCAGAACCTTTGGAATTATCCTGTTAAAATTTTATATGTGATAGTTTTAATTTATAATTTTCGAAGATCATATCTGTCCCTCCGTTTGTCTGTGTAATTATGTGAACAGATTTCTTTATTAAATTCGATATGAGAGAATGTTCTTAACAGTAGTAGATCAAATGCGATTGTACATCATACTTACCCATTATTAAATCCACTTCATTTAAGAACTCAAATGGGCATGTTCATACATAGCCTGCACCTTTAACCGAATTTTAGATGAAGGTAAAAAAAGGTAAAGTTGTCCCTGTGTTCAACGAGTTAAGCACTATGCCACGAAGGCGTGTGGGGAAGTAGATGCATAGATCCACATTTTCTTCATCTCGGCACTAGCTGGAGGTGAATGGTCAGCTTCACGCCCCTGCCGCTATACCCCGGGGAAAGAGCCCTCGGCATCCATTGGATAGGAGGTTACCCAGAGCCGGTCTGGACGATTTTGGAGAAGAGAAAATTCTTGACCGTACCAGGACTCGAACTCCGACCCCTCGGTCGTCCAGTTGTTAGCTAGTCGCTATACCGACTACGCTATCCCAACAAGTGGTTCATCATAACGAACTGCAAAGAACGCCGTTGAGAATTTTATGTAATAGGTTTACTTTTTTTTTTTTAAATCAAGCCTGAAGCCCTATCGGTGGAAGCAAAAGTGGGGCAGGGCGATTTGTGGAGTTGATGAAAGGGGCGCATTGACTCTGTATGTCTGTTACCTGGTTGGAAGATATAAATATTGCAAAACGTGCCACAAGAATTCTTTCGTTGTTTGTAAAAACTGTAGGAGGTGAAAATCAGGTCCTAGAAGTTGTCTCTCACGTAAAAATGATTAGTTCCGCATCTGGCGAATGGTTTTAATGCTCTCAGCAGCTCGTTACATATTCAATGGGTAAGGTTTCCCTCCACGATTCGACACAACACACTTACAGTCCTTCTTGTTCTCATGCGTGTGAATTACGTTCCACATATTGAAACCGCTGCTTATGCCACCACAAAAACAATGGATACGAGACTGTACTGGAGCGGCAGAAGTTGTCAACACGGGCGCTAGTGGGAGGCATGCAGCAGATTTACGAAATACAGCACAAATAAAAATGTTCCTGTACTGATCGGTGTCGAGTGAAAAGAACACAGCTTATCCATGATTTGATTCTGATGATCTTCGTAATAGGGGTATAATATTCAGGCCTGGTATTCTAACACAAGCCGTGCCAAAGTGGCCCATATCATGCCGAAATAATGTTATATTCTTATTTGCAACTGTTTTCTCGAATTCGAGCTAGCATATATCGAAAGTGCCAATCACAGTGGCCGCGCGGTCTAATGTATGAAAAAGTTTTCGTCCGCTCGAACACTGAGGTCGTGGGTTGGAATCCCACTCGAGGCATGGATATCTGTGTGCGTTTATTCTGTGTTTTTTCCGTCCTGTGCGTAGGTAGCGGCCTTG